CATAGATCAGTGCCCTTTACCACCAGAATCTAATCAGCTCAATATATTTGCTGCCAGTGACAAATGTAAAAAGCGTACGACGAAGGTAAATCATATACCCAAATGAATTTTGTCTATATTAATGCATTATTGACTTCAATACCATATGTAATTCATCAAATTTCATTCAACATTTTTAACGCATTTTTTCAAATATTACTTTTTAATATTCATCTCGAAAAGTCATTGTTAGCAATTTTCATGGTTTTAAATGATAACAATTGTTTTTTATTCACAAATATTACTTATATAATCTGCGAAATCAAAAAATTATACGTAAATAATTCATGTTTTCGCAAGGCTAAAATATAGGTATACTATAGTCATTGATTTGGAAATTTCATTGAAAATTATTATGGATCAATTAATAAAAATTCGACATTTATCTCGTACGGAATTATTCGAATGTTCCTTCTATTTTTATTATCATTATTTTTATTATTATTATTTTTATTATTATTATTACTATTATTTAAATTTTGTATGTTATCTTTTGTGTTATTTATCGTATTGTTATTTATTCTGGCAAAACGAGAAGTAGGTTCCATGTTTGTTGAAATACTAGTCACACATATGGATTTACGCAAACAAAAATTTCTTTTTGGGGGTTTTTTTTAGCGCTATGCAAATTCCAATCGTAAATATTCGAATTCAACGATACAAAGTATACCAATTGAATTCATATAACAAACAGAATTTATTTTATTCGAATGCAGTTGGAATATATAACAAAACCAAGAAAAGAAAATTATATACATAAATATATATATTCATATTAAATAATTGGAAAGAAAAAAAATTTTCAATCGTAGCATCGTCAAATTTCAGTGTGTTGCTATTCCTGGATTGGGATTTCGACGTGGAAGTTACCGATGTGAATGCAAACGTGGATTTTATTACCCAGACACGAAGTCAACCAAACGTTATTACAATGGAACCGTGATCGAGGAAGAGTATGAAAAATTGATGATGGTATGTTCTCAAAATGTCTTCACGTCAGATCATAAGCATTTCAAATTGATCCTAATCGATCACTTTTTGGCATTCTATATAATACAAATAACATATATTCGTTTCTCGAATTTTTCTTGGCAAAAAAGAAATAAATAAATAAAAGTTCGAATAAGCAAAGATATCTTTATTTCGTTTCTATGACCGATCGATCGGAAAATATAAAATAGAAATCAAAAATAAAAGAACGGTTGCTTCATGCCTGTATATCGATTCACCAATAGCAAGCGGTTTGATTTTTCAGAATTGACGGTAAAAGAGAATCACGAACGTATTTGCGAGCAATAGGCTGCCTCATCTCGTTACAAGACATGTAATATCTACTGACAGTAGGTGCCAATGTGCATACTGTCGATAACGATTTTATTTGAAGTATAAAAGAAATGTGAAAATTGCGTGAAGATATGTCCCATCCCATTTGTTTCTCTTCGACGTCGACAACGTTTAACGTTTTACACCTACAGCATGTATCAAATTTAGCTGATCATTCGTTTAACCATATAAAACAAATATCATCGTGATTTCGACAAATCAAAAAATAATTAGATGGCAAATATGATTCTCAATTTAATAAATTAATACGTATTGATTATGAGTACTAATAAATTAGTATTAATGTAAAGTTAAAACTACATGTATCTAGTCGACTTTGGATTGTCTCATTTCAAATACCTATAAAATTAATAATATATTATTCTACACGATCAAAGAAAATTTCTGAAAAGAGAAAATATTTTTAGCCATCGACGTGATATTGATTGATGTGCTGTTATTAGTCGGCTATCTAGATACATACATGTATTTGTTTCAAACTAAAAGTTAATATTTCACATATTGAAATAATATAGTTTTATTTTACAGCAACTTCGTTTGACAACTTCGTTGAAAATATCGACAAATCAGTTAACAATGTGTAAATAAAAGTTTTATGAACAACTACGTAAATAAAATATTCCTCGCAGTATTTTTATTTTTCAATTATTTCGATTCAATAAATAATCTGTTTTTATAGACTCTTGTTTATGCACCAAGTCATACTCTTATTTTCTTTCTTTTTCTTTTTTACTTTCAATGAATGCATGTCAATCATGAAAACGGAGAACGCAAATCGAAAGTATTCTCAAGAATACTTTCGATTTACGCAAGTTTATTGGTTGATTGAGAATTGAAAATTTATCGTTTGATTTTGACGTGAAAATTTTGATGTCGTTCAAGTGTCAACTCATGCTTAAATCATTGATATAAATGGACAAAAAAGTTTTGATATCTAGACGAACGAATCGTAAACAAGTTGAAGACTATCAATGGAGAAGATAAAATGTGGAAATAACGTAGATAGGAAAATTCGCAAATTCTCGTCTTGTCTGATTATAATCGATCGGTATTTATTTGATATACGTCGATATCTATCTTTGTGGTTAAATATCGTGATCAATTCTCACGTCGGTGATCTCACCAGCTATCCATCGACTGTCAAATTCCGTACTCAATGTCGAACGATAATTTAAACTTGTTTGTGTCCATCAATAGAAATTCTAATTGCTTCTGGGATACGATCATAAAGGGAATGGAAAATGAAAAAAAAAAAAAAAAAAAAAAAAAAAAAAAGAAAAGAATTCACTTGGGAAAAAGTAAATATCAATGAATCCTTTAATAATCATTAAAATCATATAAAAGTTAATATTATTAAATTTTATTTTCTTCAAAATTATATTATGCTATGTAAATAATTTTTTAATAATTTAATAGAAGAAAATTGAAAATAGTATTTAAATGTTTCTACGGCTAACTTGTAAATAAAATGTGTGGGAAATATAAAACGAATGAAAAGCGTAAACGAGATTAAAGAATATAATGAATTCGATTTCACATTATGCTCGAATATGAAAAATTTTTTATAAATTTTCACTTGTGGACATTTATAATTTCTAAAATTTCTTTTTCTCCTCTTTTTGAATAGCGGAATAATAAAATCAAGAGCTTTTGTAATTTAGACAATAGATTTTATGATAGTACATCGTTCATCGAACATTACCATCTTTTTGTTCCGCTTTAAAACGAAATGTGGAGAACGTGAAAGTACATTTTTTTTTTATTTTTTTTTTTTTTATTTTCTTTTTTTTCAAGAAATTAAATTAAATTATTTTTCCCACCTATCACGTAACGTTAAAATCGCAAATTTTAATAATATCGAGAACTGAAAATCTTCGAATATTTATTTCTCGAAAACTAATCCATTAAGATTGCGTTTCTAACAGGAATCCATATTTTTCCGATAATAGGAAAAACTACTTTCCCACTCGGCAACGTTCCCTATAACTTGAATGAACGTAACGACGAGTCATTGTTTTCTTGTTTTATAAAAAGAAAAAAGCCAATCGGCAGCTCGGAGCTTATTGGATTATTCGAGAGTATCAACGTAGTTCAGAAATACTTGTTACTTTTTTCACATTTATTAGTCCATTGGTATCAAAATTCCAATTCCAACGTTGACCTATTGAGAATTCTCTTTTTATCGAATTTTTCATAATATATTTGAACGAGATAAAAGTAAAATAATTTATGACGACGTCAAATGTTTTTCCCACTTTTCATTCTTTCACGAATTTGGTTGTGATCGCGGTCAATTATGAATTATTAGTTGTTAGAAAATGAAATAAAAATATACAAAAAAAAAAAAAAAAAAAAAAGAAAAAAGAAAAAGAAAGGGAAAAAAAGGAAAAAAGAAAAAAGGAAAAGTAGTTACGTGGATTTGAGAAAGAAGCTAACATTGCGGTGCAATTTATAAGCAAAAGTTTAAATTTTCTAATGACAAAGAATCTTTTTCCTTGTTGCCTTTGGAATTTATTTCATAGAATAAAATGCACAAGACTTTTCTTGATTCTCGGTAAGACCTAATCCATACGCAAAGACGAAAACCTTCGTTTGTTGACAAGTCGAATATCTTACCTCTTGATTCTTTTGAAATACGTAAATGCAAGAAAGAAAGTGGATGACTGAAATAAAGATGAATCCAACGACTACTACAACGGCATATATACTTATAAATATTTCTTTTTTAAAAGGCATTAGAGTTAACATTTTTCGCATTTCTCATAAAGAAATCCGATATTACGAATAAACTCCCAACTCTTATTCAACTTTTAATGTATTCCTTTATCCTACATTCGTCAGAATATTATTTCGGATATCCTTTAACCTCTTTTTCTCTTACTAGAAAAATTGAAAGAGAAATATTTTCTAATAAAAAAGTTTATCCTTCTAAAAAAAATTATTAAATCCAAATAAAAAGAAATTGTGTCTGATTGTTGACAAATTTTACATTTCGATCATACAATAATTGTCAGAGTTTAACATAGTTACGAATTCGTTAATATGTCGAAATCAAAAGTTGGCCAATACATTATCACAGTTGTTACTTTATTATGTTAATTTTTTAATAATAAAAGAAATGATAATTTTTAAGCGAGGGGTTAATCTCGGACTCGTACATTTCGTGGAAGGTTTTATTAAGATTCATCGGTCTCAGAGAACAAACGAATAAGCAAAGGATTCGATGATGTTACTAGATGGATGGTCCAGGCAAAAGTTTAGAGAACCTGTCAGAATGATGCATCGGCAAACGCGACAGAAGTTAACTCGAAGATTCCCGACGGTCCTAATAACAGGAAAACCGTCAAACTCTCGACTCCCTTGCCAACAAAAGAGATAAATTATGATTTGCTCATGCGATACCTAACCTTTTGCAGGGCGAAGAAAGTCAATACGCCGTCGAAGATTCCTTCGAGTGTCTTCCTTGCGCGGAGGGTTGCGAATCCTGCGTCGATGGCTCGCCCTGTGTCGTGTCCTTGAATTGGCTCATGAGAACAGCTATACTTATCTTGGAATGTTGCGTCATCGCTTGCCTCCCTGCCGTCGCGCTCTTCACCTGGAAATATGGAAACGTCAAGGTCAGTTACCAGTTATCATTTTTTTTTTCTTCTTTTTCATCCTTTTTCTCTTGTTCTGGTTTTTCTTTTTCTTTTTTTTTTTTTTTTCTTTTTTTTTTCTCCTTATTTCTCTCTGTCCATTTCTTCTTACTTTAATGAATAACAGTTTAATCCGAATGAAAGTGAAAAGGATCCGTCCTCGTGTTTAAAATCAACCAAACTCTTTCCCGCCGATCTTGCATTTTCTCTCGCGTGGAAGCAAAGCTTTAAACAAGATTAAGAGGTTTCGGAACAATCACGTCGTATCTCTTCACTTGATCTCAGCCGAACAAGGTTAACGAATTAACCTTGATTTATCTGATCATCCATTAAGATTACCCACCGTAACTCACCTAGCCCACATATATTCTAGCCATTCTCTTGTGATAGTTTTGCGAGTCTCGAGGCAACCCAATTTCTATGTTAAAAACTCTTTAACTCGAGAGATCTCGGGATGACGTTTTTTCTTTCATAGATATAAAACGAGATTTTTAAACATTGCTCCTTTTTCCATAAGTTAAAAAACGATCTCATTGCAATAAACTAAATTCAATCTTTCAATGTAGATAGAAATTTTGTATAGCGCGTGTGCCGTGCTTCGCAACATTAGTTCTCATCAGAAGAAACTTTGCTAAGTTTTCCGGTGACCTGAAAACTTTGCATGAGTGAAGAATCTTCTTTATCGAAACAACCCGAAGAAATCGCAAATGGAATCGAGGCGTTGAACGTATGATAAATTCCTTGTGAAATTCATGAATTTTCTCTATCGTTGAAGATTAATTAAAAAGTAAAAAAAAAAAAAAATAAATAAAGAAGAAATATGTATACATTATATATATATATATATATTACATAAAAAAAATAAAAGAGAGACAAGAGCAGATTATTTCCTAAGGAATCACTGATTGTTTCGGTTCCATATCAAGGAATTGCTGTTTCTTTCTCTTTCTCTCTATCTTGTTGTCCTTATTGCTTCACTGGCAAGTGAGAATAGTTTTCCCCGTTTCCCGGTTATGAGAATCACGTAGCCGCAGCAACGTGTTCCTCGGAATATCTATGTGATAAATTGTCTCGCTTGGTATCTTTAATACGAGCTCCCAACGGAGCACTCCTAACTTCTCTCTCTGTCTCTCTCTCTCTCTCTCTTTCTCTTTCTCTTTCTCTTTCTCTATCTATCTCTTTCTCTCTTTTACATTTTTTTACATCTTCACGGGATACCATGGTAAGTAGATCGTTTTCTCTCAGATCTGACTTATGACAGCTTTTGGATTTCTAGATGTAAAGAATCCCTCGAGCACAATTGTAAAGTCCATGATCAACTTTATATCTTTGTAATACCTATATGTGTGTATGTTTACATGTAACACTTGAGTAATGATATTCGAACGAAATATTTATAAGTAGTGAACATTGTATGAGTGATAACGGTACGAATGAATATGTATCGTACAGTTGAATGGTCGTATACTTAACTGAAGCTCATTTAATTTCACGTAGCATGATGCAAAATGCCAATTACCATATTTAAGCACGGAGATGATTAGAGGACATTCCCTAATCATTTGATGAAAATTTTAAAAGATCAACCTAGGAAGTATAATGCGAATAACATACAATATCAACATTATCTTTCTAATATCTATTCCTTCTATATTAAAATACTTATCAATATAAAATCTTACATCTAATTTATAATTTGATATCTATTATAAATAATTCAAATTGCTCGAGTAACAATTATCAATTGGTTTTGTTCAATTGTTTATTTATTTGATTTGAAAAATAAATGCTTTCATTATTATCAAATTGCGAAAGAATACGATTACGACATTGTTAATCATTCACATAATTGTCACCTAGTCAAACGAAATTTCTCGAGGATCATATCAAAGTACTAAAAGTAACTTCAATCATAAATTAATGAATATCTAATTAAGTTAAGTCGAGAACTCTCGAGTTACGTAATTAGACAGCCGCAATATCATACTTATCGTATCTTTTAATGAATCATTCATTGATCTTTCGAAAGACTCAGTAAGGGAAATATGTCAAATAAATATTATCATTTATCTTATTATCTTAATCACTTTTTGAGTAAGCAATACTAAGACCAAAAAATGCATTCTGTGAAGATTTATTCAGACATTTATATATATATATATATATATAAATGTATATTATATATATATATATATAGTATGTGTATATATATATATATATATACATATATATGTACTTATAATTAGATATGTGCATTAATAGTAGGAACTGCAGTCTCTATAAGAAATTCGAATAAGAAAAAGAAGAGAAAACGGTAACAAATCTGTTCATGTTGTACGTCGAATATGAAAGAAGGTGGAATAATGGAGCAACAAAGTAAAAAAGGAAAAATCTTTTTTGGCGCATTTATATGCTAAACTGTTATATATTACCGGATAGTGGCACATTGCCAAGCTTATACGCGCGAATGTATTCCGTGCACGCTTTTTAGAAATGGATGCTGCTATGGGAACAGCAACGTGCAAATTAGACGTTCTTAACGTTTTCCGATTGTGCCGAAATTTTTTATTCAACATAATTCTATTCTTTAAGCTTGAGTGATCGTGTTAAAGAGGAAAAAGGAAAAAAAAAAGAGAAAGAAGAAAAAAAAAAGAAAAAGAAAAAGAAAAAGAGAAAAAAACTACGAAGCTGATAACGCCGATAATCCTGATCGTTAATTCAAGAACACGAGCACGTAACTAATTCCTATGGTTTCTGGTTACGTCCAAGCTTTGAAAATGCTTTTAAGACGTCCAAGGAAAAAAAAACGAATAAAAACTGGAGATCATTAATACTGAAATACGATAGGAAAGATCCTAAGTAACGTAAGGTAACCAAAGAAAAATACAGTAGAACGTTCTTAGAACCAACATACTTCCGTAATAGCAACCTTCATTATGCAGTTTTTGTTATACCTATATCGAATTCAAGAATAAACAATATACACGGAATAGATATTGTTTGCGTAGTATTTATAAACAATACATATCTGACGAAACACGAAAAATATAGCTCCGAAAAATGGTCGAATGAACATTGAGTAATATTTGAAATTTAAATTTGTTGAAAAAAAGTAAGAAATAATATTTATAATTGGAAGAGAATTTGGTCTAAAAAAAAAAGAAAAGAAGAAGAAATGAAAAAAAGAAAAAAAAGAAAAGAAAAGAAAAGAAAATATAAAGAACATCGGTATGTAATCTTTTCTCTCAAAGATTGCACATGTTGGTAGACGATTTCGAGGGTACGAAATAACCCGCGAAATTTAAATGAGTAAGCCACACCACACGTTAAAGAGAGGAGAAGAGAGATCTTTAGAGAATACTAAATTTTATTAAGTGTTATTACTTTCGAAACAAATGAGATTCACGGGTTAACCGCTTGCTTCTATTTGACAAGACGACGTCTATTCTGTTACCCTTGCATCATCCATTCTGGTATTCCTAAGATTTGACTCCCTCGAATAAGAGAATGACTCTCATAGGATGACTTTGAAGACGATCTTTGAGAGTTCATTTTGAAGAACCTTCTATCTCTCTCTCTGTCTCTCCCTCTCTCTCTCTCTCTCATTCCAACGAATTCTTAATTAAGAGTAGATCCCATTGAATCTAATCTCGTTAAGAGAAGACATCAAATTTTATCATAGGAAAATTAATTGTATATATTATTATACATAAGTTTTCTTATCGTTTGGTTTATTAAAACTTAGCTATACTAAATAAACTTTTAACATATTAAAATATTATATAAACGAATAATTAAAATATAAATATCTGTTAAGTTCATAATTTTTATTATTTATTAATATTTTTAACATTTATTTACATTTAAGTTTTATCATTGATCTAATGATAATATGATTTGATGTTATCTAGTAGTGATAAACGTTTTTTAAAATGCCCTTCCGTAAAATTTATCGCGAACAAAAAAAAAAAAAAAGAAAAGAGAAATTTCATTTTCTTGTTAATATTTAATCGTAAAGCTCCACGATATCGTGTCATACTCCGAGAAAATTGATCGACACGTGGTTATCTCTGCACGGCGAAGAGTATAGAGCTCGATGAGCTTTCAGACGGCGTTGCAAGCTATGATTAGACTTTACTACATCACCCGTTATTATTCACCATTTCTATAGCAACATTTTATGATAATGTAGTCTTCAATTATCTCTATCATTTCTAGCAACTTATATATCATCTTATTATGAAAAAAAAGACATTAAAATATATTCGATCTAATTGTGAATATAAATGAAAGAAAAATTCTATCAAAGAGCATAAAAATTTTTAAATAATTTTATCAGCCAAATGAAACTGTATAGTAACATAGACAAAGACTTGTGTAAACAAAAAATATCCCTACTGCATAAAGTAATTTTTAAATATCAAAACTTAAAGTTCAGTTCAGAAAAATTATTAAGAATCCATATCGTTTTTATATTATATTTTGATAATAGAGAATATCCTTTTAAAGTCAAGTTAACCCGAAGCAATATACGTATGTGTACGTAAATATTAGAATGGAGAGAGAACAGGTCGCGGCTTCTGGCTCACAAATAGCAGGACACCAAGGTAAAACCCAGAATGCACTTAACGCGTATATACGTTATTAAAGTTATAATAGAGGTACGAGAGTTGTAAAAGTATTATAAAGGGAGAAAGAGAGAGAGAGAGAAAAAAAAATTCACTATAGAACCGTGCCAAAATGTCATGACCATTATTGAACCAATAAACTGACCAAAAATCGATTCTTATTTTGCATATGATTTTTATTACCAAAAGAGAGAAAGAGAAAGAGAGAGAGAGAGAGAGAGAGAGAGAGAGAGAGAGAGAATTCCTACATGTAATTCCAACGAACAATGTAGAAAATACTTGTAAAATTTGAGTAATGGCGAATATATTTAAAAATCAAGAAAAAAAAAATATGTACTTGACCCTATCGACTTT